CAGCAGCAGCAGCAGCAGCAGCAGCAGCAGCAGCAACAGCAGCAGCAGCAGCAGCAGCAACAGCAGCAGGATGCAAGGTCCCTGTGCCGCAGCCTCGGGGTAACTTCTCTGCCTGCCCTCCTCTATTTCACACCATATCCAATAGGTTCAAAGAAGCAGCAGCAGCAGCAGCAGCAGCAGCAGCAGGGACAGCAGCAGCAACAGCAACCGCAGCAGCAGCAGCGTTTGGGTTTCTTCGATGATGAAGAAGATGCATTGTTGCATCCCCGGGCGACGAGGTAGGCGTTCTTGCTGTTGCTGCTGCAGTTGCTGCTGTTATTGCTGCTGCTGCTGCTGCTGCTGATACTGTTGCTGCTGCTGCTGCTCTCATGGTGCAGCCTCTCTCTGCTGCTGCCTGCATGTATTGCTGCTGCTGCTAAGCCTTAAACCCTCAAACCAAAACCCTGCTGCTGCTGCTTGCTGCTTAGGTATAAGGGGGACCTCCTGATGAGAGAAGCAATCGTCGACTGGTTGAAGCTGCTGCGCTGCATATCTCGTCTGCAGCGGCTAACAAACAGAAGCAGCAGCAGCAGCAGCAGCAGCAGCAACAACAGCAGCAGCAGTGAGTCACAAGAGCTGCAGCAGCAGCTACAACAGCAGCAGCAAATCATCAAGGAACAGCAGCAGCTCCTACTGGAACAAAAAATGGAACTCGACCGGTTGCGCAGACAGCTGCGTCAGCCGTAGTGTTTGCGCCAGCTGCTACTGCTTTTGCTGCTGCTGCTGCTGCTGCTGCTGCNCTGCGTCAGCCGTAGTGTTTGCGCCAGCTGCTACTGCTTTTGCTGCTGCTGCTGCTGCTGCTGCTGCTGCTGCTGCTGCTGCTGCTGGGTGAGTTGCAGTCACAGTGTTTCGCTATTTGTCATCAGCAGCTCTCTGCGGCCAGCAGCTTTCTTACTACCACTCTGCTGCAGGCACACATCAACTCCTGCATCAGGGGGAGTAGCAGCAGCAGCACCAGTTGCTCCTACTGCTACAGCAGCAGCAGCAGCAGCAGCAGCAGCAGCAGCAGCTGGTGGTAGTGCTACTGCTGCTGCAGGAGTGGCAATACCTCCTCCTGCTGCAGCAGGAACAGCAGCAGTCAGTGCTACTGCTACGCCAGGGCCATCCGCAGCTGCTGCTGCTGCTACACCAGGGGCAGCAGCAGCTGCTGCTACTGCTACACCACGGGCAGCAGCAGCTGCTGCTGCTGCTACACCAGGGGCAGCAGCAGTTGC